TCAATAATTCTGGTGAGAATCCGTTAATGAAAGCCTGTGAAGGGGGTCACAGTGACGTAGTATCGTTCCTTCTGGAGAAGGGGGCAGTTGTGAATAAACAGAGCTCAAGTGGATCTACAGCTCTTCATTTCTCCTGTCAGAATGGACACGTTGACGTTGTGGAAATACTACTTGAACATGATGCACCCGTGGATTCAGTGGATGAAGACGGCGATACACCACTGATTCTTGCTGCTGTAAATGGTCACACTGATTGTGTAAATCGGTTGCTTGATAACGGAGCGAGTATTGAGTTCACCAATAACAACGAATGGAACCCTCTTCATAGTGCTGCTGGCGAAGGCCACGTGAGTGTAGTCGCCTTGCTTGTGAAGGAAGGGGCCAACATTAACGCGCAATGTCCACACGGGTCGTCTGCGTTACTCGTAGCGTCGGAATATGGTTTCCCAGATACTGTGGCGTTTCTTCTTGAGCATGGAGCGTCTATTGATGCGGTTGATGGAGACGGTGACAACGCCCTACTGCTTGCAGCGAAATCAGGGCTCGATGAAGCGGTAAAGACTTTTGTCGAAAAGGGATTATCAGTGGATTTTACCGATAATGAGGGCAAAAGCGCTCTACTGAATGCTGCGATGGAGGGGCATGTTGATGTGGTTTCGGTGCTTCTAGATGCCGGAGCAAACATTGATCAACGAGGACCAAACGGAACAACTGCACTGCTTGGCGCTTGCAAGAATGGTCATCTCGGCGTTGTTCAGGTTTTAGTCGAGAACGGGGCAGCCACTGACGTCAGAGACGAAGAGGGGATGGATTGCATTGCTACTGCTCGTGCACACGGTCAAGAAGACGTGGTCGACTTCTTGTCGTCGTCGAAAGAGACACCTGTTAGCTGACAATGTAGTTTATTTTGATTCACAGAACCAACTCGTCTCAACGGAGCCATAGTTCTTAACATTGCTACCAGGAAGAACCATCTCTCAGTGGTTGAGCTGTTTCTCAAGCAATTCGTGGTGGAAATATTGAAATTTCCATACCATGTCCTAGAAAAAAAAGTGATCTTATGATGTTTTTTTTTTCTTTTCGTAAATTACCCAGCGCTTAAGCGTTGTATACTCTAAGATTGTTATCTTAACAAAATTCCACGCACATCCGAAGTTAAAACAAGATACATTTTTTATTTATCATTCCAACAAATTGTCATCCCACCGTACTACCAATAGAACTCCTCCACCGGGCTACCATCTGCATCCAGCAGGCTAATCTGCAGGAACATGTCGCTCTTGGGTGATCCTAACCCGCCCACTTCGTCCGGTAATACCAGCGGGTAGCTGCACATCTCGCAGTTCCTGTTTCCAGCGTACAACGTCAACGGGATCACCGCGGATCCAATAAGATCGTCGCTCTGTTGACTGCGATCAAACACTTGCGCGATAAGAAACTCGTTTTCCCACTCGTCCACCTCGAACTCGAACTTCTCGGGCGGCGTCCAGTGTGGATCGAGGCTGCTCTTGACGCACGAGCTCTTCTTGGTCGTGTCGCCAAGCGTGAAGACCACGTACGCGCTGCTCTTGCCGCCAACCTCGTTGGTCGCCGCCACCAGGTCCTGACACTTGAAAAGCACCACCTTCACCGAGAACGTGTCCTTCCGCATCGTGTGTGTCCAATGTGTTTGTGGAGTATAAAGTACAGTGGGGCGATCGAGCGATCGAGCAAACGGCGACTGTAGTGTCGTTGGCAAGTGTCCGAGCACCGAGATGTCAATTGAAGCCGACGTCTCGGTGGTGCAGCGTGTATTACTGCCACACAGCTTGTAGCGTTAGTGATAAATTATGCAAATACTTCTTAAATCAGTATCCTATGATCTTGTCATATCTTATGACTCAGTCATACGCGGATCATGTCGAGTGCGAAGCTTCCTCTGACTATCGGCGTTATCGTCTTCGACGGCGTCGTACAGCAGGATTATGTGGGGGTCATCTCGTATCTTGAGCAGCTCCCGACCGTTTGTGATCAACCTGTCAAGTTCCTCACCATCTCGTTAACGTCGGGGCCTCTTCGAAGCGGAAATTCGCTGGGCTTCGGAATGCCGCTGTATGCCACGCACGGATTCGAAGACGCCACAGAGCATATTGACATTCTCGTCATCCCGGGGGGTTCTCCTGGCCGGTTGGTCATGCAAAAGCACGAGAAGTTCATGAAATTTCTGAAGGGGGTCGCGGACACGGCGACTCACGTGTTGACGGTGTGTACCGGTTCGGCCATTCTGGCGACGACAGGACTGCTAGATGGCAAGAGGGCGACTACCAACAAAATGGCGTATCAGAGCGTCGTGGAAGCCCATCCGACCGTCAACTGGGTCCACAAGGCGCGTTGGGTACAGGACGGCAAGATCTGGACGAGCTCCGGTGTCACGGCGGGGCTGGATATGGCACATGCGTTTATGGCGTCCACGTACGACCAGAATGTCGCGGAAACGATGGCTCGCTACATGGAAAACGTGCCGAACACTGACCCGAATAACGACCCGTTTGCTAGTGTGTTAGCGTGCTGAAGGTTTGAAGAGAGAGCGCTTTTAAATCGGTGGTGTTTGACTATCAAGTTCTTCAAATCATGTTTGAGAAAAAAAAAATTGAATTGTAATAGACTTACTTGTCTTGACTCCCTCGACGATACGAGTTTATCATTGATGAATCATCAACAAGTACATTCGTGTCAATCAAGGCCTCATAAGCGTGTGCGCAGTTGACGGCGATGCATATAACACAGCTGCGAGCTTCTGTCGTTTCTTCTTCTCTGGATGCAGTCATCTTCGCTGACATTTCGCTCAGTATAAGATTCGCGGACACGTCGATCAATCCAGCGCACACAGCCTCACCACAAAACCGACAGTGGTGGCAGCGTCGCAATATGTCCACCCAAGCCATTTTTGTAAATCTTTAGATCACAACTTTCTCCTTCTGGTGACTGTCAATCCTTACAGCCATTTGAATTATTTCTTGGAGAGTAATCGTCCATGTGACTGCGCTACTCGGGTCTGAGGGGTAGCATCCACCGGCAAATAAATGTGCTTGTTTGGCATACTAGACTAAGCTGTAGCTCGGGTTGTTTGTCGTCTCAATACTGCTCCTGAGTTGCGGAAATGCAGTCGCTCCGTTTTCAAAGATTATGATAACTCCGGAATACATTTGATATCCATACTGAGTACTAGAAACTCCGAAAAGAGCAACCACTCCACGGTTCTAATCGGGCATCATGGTAAAGTCTTGGCATGGCGCTGATGTCAGTGGCGTCCTACACTTCGCGATGCGACTCACAGTGTCCATGGAGGTGGATGCAACAATGCTGCATCACCCCGACATTGCAACCTGCATTGAAAA